AAATGATCACCACGATTAGAAAAGTAACCATTGATACCAAACATAAAAGTGTAGCTTATTAAATAGTCATTAAAAATGTGTCCCCTCGCTCCACCCCACCTGTACCCAGTCTCATCCAAGCTTTAAGAAGTAAAAAATATGTCTATGGCCATGCCACTCTGAACAAACCTGATCCTGTCTGATCTTGGAAGCTAAGCAGGGTTAGGCCTGGTTAGTATTTTGATGGGAGACCACTCAGGAAGACCAGGTGCTGGAGGCGTAAAAAAAAAAAAAAAAAAAAAAAAGAAGTGAAAAATACAAAGCAATTGGGGAAACAATTTTAATAATTTGGTAAGTGTATTTGGATTAATTTTAGACATTTTGGAGTCAAATACAAAAACAAAAATTATCTTTTAATTTAAAAACATTTAAACAATTTAAGAATTCTAAATTTGGCCCATATTGGAAATTATAGAACTAGGGGCTCCATTAAATAAGCATAGTCATTGTCTTAATATTTATGTCTTAATTTCTCCAAATTTAACCGATATATCTCTTATTTCTGGTTACGTGATGATGACAAGGTTGCTACTTTCAAAATACAATGACTATGAAAGTAACTTTATAAAATATATATTTATCTCTTTTGATTGAGAAAACCAAACTTGTAAGACAAAAGGGGAAAAAAATCATTACTGTACATCTGGAATTAGCAAACATATTTTTCCCTCTTTTATAGGTACCCTTCTCAGCCTCATTCAGTGAATCAGATGTGGTGGGTTTTCGAGAGATTTGTTCTCAGTGAGTTAATATTTGACTTGCCAAGCCGTTTGCATTTCCTAGACTGACCTTGAAGACACTGGCATTGCCATGATATCTTGTGAGCATCTCCCTCCTTTGGACAAGTAGGAAATATTTGAGGCTCCAACTTTATCGAGTGAAGCTTATCCACATGATAACAGTCCCTGACTTCTGTGTGGTACTGATGTAAAACACCACACTTTGGTGAATGCTTTCTTTGAAGACTCAAATCCAGTGTGAAAACCTTTTTTAATGAAAAAAGTTTGTGGCACTTTCATAATAGCTGGGCTTACCCTGTTGATTTAGATCAAAATCATTTCCTCCCAACATCATAACCATTTTTACTGTTCAGTGGTGCAGAAGGCATCATAAAGAGCTGGTGAAATGTTTTGGATCATTCAGAATTGGATGAGAGATAAAAAAATGAAAATATCGCCAAAAGAGGTAATATTGTGGAGAACTTCTTATGAAGGCAAAAATAAAAGTATCTCTACACTAAGAATTATCTTAAATGTTCTAATGATGTGAACCATTCAGATAAACATCTAATACAAAACCAGATGTGTACAATCCTGCTGAGTCTTTCTTCATTGCCTACTCCACACTGGAGTCTTAGCTGTTTTCTCTTTCAGATTTCAGGGAAAGGAAACACAACTCCTCTTAATGTTTAATGAATGTTTATGAAGTCCTTTGACAATTAAGGACTCATTAAAATTCACTTCAAAAGAAAAGAGATAAAAACTCTTTTAAGACCAAAGCAGAATGCGGTGGCAAGTAGAAAATCACATCTTTTTTATTTTATTTTATTTTTTTATTGTTGTGAGTTGTCCAGTCAGAAACACTGCAAAAGAATTAAGATTCTTTTAAAAATGATTGTGGTAGTAGTTAGAATATAATAGACAAATTTTATGATCACAAAGTGACTTTAACTTTGCATTGACTATTGTCTTTGGTGTTTTTTTCTGAAGATACTAGGAAATCCTGCTTTTATATGTATGGCATATCACAGTGGCTTTGGAGTCAGACTTCTTGTGTTTAAATCTCAGTTTCAAGTCTTTCTAGATCTATGACCTTGAGCTAGTTCTCATTGCCTCAGTTTCTGTATTGTAATATGGGCAAAATAATACTACATGACTCATAAGCTTGTTGGAAGAAGCAACTGAGTTAATACATGAAAAACACTTAGAATTAGTGCCTGGTGCACTGATTTTCTCTTCTTTGAGCATCTTTCTTTTCAATTTATACTTTGTTTGGCCCATATTAGGGCCCTTTGGAAAGGTCTGTATTTTCCCCTGGCTAAGATGGTGCAAAGGAATAGTTAATGAATCCTCACTTCTGATGGGTAGCATTTTAGCTTCATTTTTCATTTCAGTTTTTCTCCATTCCTTCTTCTCAGTACAACAGGGCTCTGTGTCCTGCCACTTCCAGCTACCTTGGACTACAGCTGTTCTCTTCATCCAGATATGACACGCAGAATATAGAAATGCCTACATATATATTTAGTTACTTTCAAAAGCACAGTCTTTATGAATGAGGAATTGCTAAAGTTCAACAAGGTATTTTGAAGCTAGAATAGTTATATCATTTTTGCTGTTACTCCATGTAAATAATTTATATTTAATAATGGATATAAAGAAATATCTGGACATGAAATCAGATAATAGCCTAGAAAGTTATTATAATGCTCATCATTATTTTAAATATGAAATAGAAGTATGTATTGGAATGAGCAGAGAAGTAATAAAGCATCCATCCACCTATTTATCTTTCTATGAGGCTGAACGTTAGCAGAAGTAAGTACTGACCTGGAAACCAAAAATTTGAAGTTCTATTGATAAATATATTCCTCTCAAGAACATCCTATTTATTCTTAAGTAATTTACTATCCTAGTTTACACGCTGTGGGTCATAAGATTAAATTTGTCTTTGTAAAGTGCTGAGTTGTTGTTATTTAACTCAAACCTTATCTTTCAGAAAAGCCTCATAAATATAATAATAATTAGTCATAGTTTCCACTGGATTTTTTACTGCTTTCACCATGTGCCCTTCCCAGTCTGTATGCAAGGTGTTAGATCAGTTTCACAGTAACTGAATAAACTTTCACTCCTAATAATTAGTTTTTATTGAAAAAGTGATTGCTATATTTATAATTTTTGAGAAGATAGTGAATCTGCTAAGATTTATTCTTCAGTTTTTCAGGTGCATCACAGGCAGACTTTATTTTCACTTGCTATATGCACATGATTCAGTATTAGTAATGACTTTGATATTAGAACATAATCCTTTTACCATTCAGTTGCTGGTGTGGACTTGGATGTTTACTCCTAGTTTTGATGGTTGTTAAATCTGTCTTTATGATTCTTAGCCATCTAGTCCTTATTTTGGAGTGGAAACACTTTAGTTTAGAGAACATACTATTTCTACATTTTCCAAGTAGATACTCAACACACTGATCAGTCTGCTTCTTAGTATTTGCTGTAGGAAGATTTCTGTCTCCAGCTCAGTGTGGTCTATAACTTCCTTCCCCCATACAGCCACTATCACAACCCAAAGTCCATTTCCTTTCTAGTTGTAGATGCCAAGAGCTAAAGCATCAAAGTTGTTAAATTGTCTAAGAAAGAAGAGAAGGAGCTCCAGATGTTGAACTATGAGTGTCCTGTAACTGTAAAACAGGCTTAATTTTTTGTGTGTATAAGTGGCGGAATGTTCAGAAAGAAAGCTAAAAGCATTCCAAAATTGTGTGCAGAAATGGAAATATTCAGTGAATAAGCTTATCTCTTCCCAAGAGTCCTACCTTGATTTACAGCCTTCATTTCACTATATATGTAAGAAAATTTCAGGATGAACTGATGCTTTGCTTGGAGGCATGAGCTTATTTTGAGCTCTACAGGAATCCATTCTTATTTTATTAGTATTACACACTAGAAAGGTCTTATGCTGTAGTTGGCTTGTCTTTTAGCCCATTATGAGAATGAATGTCTTTTCTTATATAAAACTACTTTAAAAAGTTATAATATAGTTTTTATTAAATTTGTTTTTATACTCAAAACTTAATTATCTTTCCTTCAAAAATTTGCAAAGGCTAAAATCAGAGTTAGACGCATATGTGAGCCAGTTAACATCAAACAATAAAATTCTTTAGTCACAAATTTCAGCTAATAATATATCAATTTTTCCCATTTCTGAGGGGGCAAATACTGTTTAAGGTACTATTCTAAGCATTTTACATATATGAATGAATAAATACTGTTACTATTCTCATTTCACAGATGAGTAAATTTGAGGTTCATGGAGGCGAAGTAAATAGTCTGAGGTTAGACAGCTAATTATTCAAATTAAGAATCATCTGGGTGACTCATATATAAATAAACTATACTATTTGCAATAAGAGGGTGATAGTTGATAGGCAAGAATATATATGTGCAATTAACTGCTGTTCAAGGTAGAATAACATATATAACATGGTAAAATTCCATAGAAACATCGACAAAGATGCGTATATTTCTGATTGAGAAATGTATAACATACATGGTGAAGGAGATGCAGGCTGTTATAGACTGAAAAAATATTATGAACAAAGGCATGGGGATATAGAAAGCATATAAGAATAAGATATGGACAGGGAGAAGACCATGGTAGGAGATAAAATTAGAAAGATAGGTAAGGTCAATTAATGAAGAAACCTGAATGCCTTCCTAAGAATTTCAGAACCACTAGAGCTTTTTGTTTATTTTGCTTTAGCTTTTTGGTTTTACAAGTTCATGCATGTGTGTTGTTATTTTTAGAAGGCAGCAGTGCAAATAATGGATTATAGAAGTGGGAGGGAGATCAGAGAGTAGTACAATGGTACTGATTAGGGACAAGGATAAAGGGGATAGAAACGAGGGGCTCCAGCCATTGGCTTGTATTTTGCCATAAGGGAATACAGCAGATTTAGGAAAACCTATCCTTGTTACTGGCGGAGAAGAAATCAAAGCTACACACACCTGCTGATGGTGACATCACCATCATCATTGAGCGATTTGGTTAAAGCAGTTTGTGGAGTAGTGAAAATCTCAGGTCAGCATTATAACCTTATATATCTGAGCCTTGGTCATTATAAAAATACCTACATTGCCTGGGTCTGGTAAGAATTAAATGAAAGTATACGAAAACTCTTAAAACTATTTTACCTGTCGTAAGTACTCAGTAAATAGTAGTTTTCTTTCTTTTATTTGTAGATCGTTTCATCAGTAGTTATTTACTTGCCTGAAACATACACAGCTACTGCGATAACCTTTGTAAAGGGTTGGTTGACAAGCTGCTTTCTACACACAAGTTTTAGGTTGTCTTCTTACATTTTCAGGTGAGCATCCATATTACCTATATATTCTCTTAATTCTCTTCTGATTAAAAATAGGACATTAGAGTTCAGTGAAGTTATATAACTAGCTTTACATCATTATATATCAGTAAAAGATCTGAGGTAAATGATTAAATGCAGCCAGTTATAAAACTTCATTTATACTTTATATGGATGTTATAGAATGTATTTATGTATAATCTTTGAATCTGTTTAACAAACACACATATGTTCATGTCAGTGTCTTGCAAAGTATAAGATGCTATGAAGATATACAATATTGTTAGAAAGTGGTAGCTAATACTACCTAGCAGTTGGTAATAACTTGCAAAGTGAATTGAATATGGCATACAAGGCATGATATTTTTAAGATATACTTATATAAAGTGCTCTTAAGGCAAAGTTGATATGACATACGAAATAGCCCTAAATATGAGTAAGCAATATTGGTGATGCATTATGTTCTATCCTGTTTTCTTTGAGCACCACCACATTTATTTATCAGCGCTGGCAGAAACTGTGATAATGGAATTTCCACATGTCTTTTCTTCCTAATAGTAAAATCATTTTATAAAACAAATTAGAAAGTGGCTAAAATTGACTAAAAATTGGAAATATGAATTTGTACCAACAGGTGTCACCAGTATAAATACCAGTAGGTCATTTATCACACTCTAGAAAATAGACTTGTGTATATGTTTTTTAACTGGTATATATCTTTAAATTAAAATCTGGGTTCTGGTAGTGACTTTATACTTTATGTAACATGAGTGAAAGGTGTATCCTTTTCTGTGTTACAAACCTCACAATCTTTACTGTCAAGTTTTAAGCCATAGAGTTCTGAAAAATGAAAGAACTAACGTTCATTGGGCACTTACTCTATCACGATCTCTGGGCACTGTGCTAAGCGCTGTTTTTTTGGACTTCATTTAATCTTAGCAACAACCATGTGAGAAGTAGACATTATTACTCCTATTTTTAAAATGGAGAAATGATGATCTAAAAAAACCGATGAATTTGCCCAAAGGCACACAGATAATTAGCCAAGCTGGGTACAATCTCCAGCCCTGTACATTCTTCTCTAAATGCTGTTTAGGCAACATTGGCATTAAAGACGATATTCAGACCTTCCTTTCATGCCTGTGTTCCAGTGTTCCACTCTTTATTAACTGAAAATATAATTTAATTGAATTGGCTAGGTCAAAGTCTTTCTTAAATTCAAAAATTATATGGCTTCAGGAGGGTGGGAGGCAGAAGGGGTGTCAGAAAAATTCAGTTGCATTTTTGCATTGAGTTAGAGAAAAGCTTGTCTCAATATGGGTAACCTTTCAATGTTCGGATATGAAAAATAAAAAACAAAAGAAAGAAAAAATATTGCCTTTGATTTACAACCGAAAATCAAAAAAACAAATAGAAGTCAATCAGGACTGATTAGTGCTGTATTTTACAAACTCTTTTTTTTTTTAATTATTTTCTGAGAACATGAACTTTCTGTGTCTGTTTGTTTTACTTTCATAGTAATGGAATCATTTTTTTTTCTCAAATATTTGTCAACATTTCATAACTGGTGGTATATAAGTGGCACAAGCTTAATTAAGGTCCTGTACCTCAATTGTATCATTAAAAGACCAATTAAAAACAAATTTACATTAATAATTGCTTTTACATGTATTTGGCACACATAATACTTTTGCGAGCAATCTAGTGTTTCTGAGAATCTCTCTTTAAATCTCAAAAGTGTTCAATAATTACATACATTTCCTTCATTTTTTCTTTTAAATATTCTTTTATTTTCATTCCCTTTTATTCCACCATCATAAAATTTCTTAACTTATCTTTAAAAATATACAAAATTTATATCTCTGATTCTAATGACCACTAGTCAGTCATCTAATGTGGCAGTTCTCAAAGTATGATTTGCAAGCATAATAACAATAAGGTATATTATTAATGTTTACACTGAGAGTACAAAAGAAATAGTAGGTAGAACTGCTGGTGGAAACAGCACAAATCGAAACAGCACCAAATTGTATTTATATTCTTCACTGCCATGTACTCACAGTAAAAGATAGCCAACCAAACACCAAAAAAAAAAAAAAAAGCAAGCTTTATTTAATAATATCCTGCATGAAACAGTAAAAATTATTAATTTTATTAAATACCAACCTTTGAGTAAACGTCTTTTTAATATTATGTGTGACAAAATGTGAAACATACATAATGAAATTCTTCACCATAATGAAGATTAATGGTTACCTTGACACGTTTCTCATAAAACACAATTTTTACTAGAGATAAAGACTGATTGACAAACTATCAAGATTATTTTAAGATTATTCAGATGTGAGTATTGGCAGACATATTCTCAAAAATGAACAAAGCAAGCATGTCATTAAAAAGAAAAACAACTGACAGTATTTATTGCTAATAGTAAAACTCAAACTTTAAACAAAAAATAAAATTTTGGAAAGTTCGTATCCACAGAACTTACTTGTATAGCTGAGTGATCCAAGATTTTTTTTCCAAGTGATTGGTGCCCATTGTTTTATAATCACACATGTGTGAAAAATCCATTCGAAGTACATGATAGACGGTAGATTTTAATTTATCAGAAAATGAAATTTTCATTTATAGGGTTTCAGATTCTACATTGTAGCTAACTTTTAAGAGACTCCTATTTGTCTAGTTCTTGTGTAGTATCAAAATAACCACTATTATACGAAAAGACTATTAACATATTCCTCCTTTTCCAACTACATATCTATGACCATATAGTCTTCATATATGCCAACCACAGCAACATACTACAGTAGATTTAATGCAGATATTCAATTTCTTTTATTAAGTTAGACATTAGATTTGTAAAATGTAAAACAGTGCCACTTTCTTGTTCATTACTACATTTAAATGAATTATACATATTTAAAAACAGTTCAGTTTTAATTTCTAATATGGTAAGTAGTAGTTTTAATAACTATCATACACACAAAGAAAAAATTTGGCATCCTCAATAATTTTTAATAATGAAAAGTGTCCTGCAAACAAAACATTTGAGAACTGCTGTCTAGAAGAGTCATTGTCATCTTTTAAAAGAGACTTTTAAAAGTCACAGAGACTAGAGCTTGCATACTGTCTTTGCTTGTTGCTCATTTGTTTGTCCTCAGGCAAATCACCTTTCCCAGACCTAGTACCCTAATCTATAAAATGAGTATTTTGAGGACTATGTTATATGAGATTTATATACACAGAATAGGAGATAAACAATTACATCTTACTTAATCCTCTCAAAAACTGCTTGAAGTGTGAGTACTATTACGATAAAGTGTTTGAGACTAAAGGAAAAACACAAAACAAATGAGAAAGAAGACCGAAAGTCTTCCATAACTTTCTCATTACTTCTATTGGAAACAAAATTACTAGAAAATTTTTTTCAGGCCTTAGGAACTCAGTACTTGTTAGAAATTTAGCTGAAGCTGAAGTGATTTGAAAAGGGGGTTTGGGGAGATGTAGTACTGTAATAAAAAAGCGAAAGGAACTAGAAGTGTTTGAAACAGGAAAATTTATATGACAGCCAGGATCAGATAACCCATCTTCTCAGAGCAAGCTAATAAGATTTCAGGATAACACTATTTTTTGGTGATTTCTAGAGAGGAGGGCATAGTACTATACTATGTATGCTGATGCTTCCTCTCCACCCACATCCTGATACCTTATGGAGGATGGAATTAAAGTTTTGGTACCACCAATCTATGCTGTTTATTCTGTTTGTTTCTTTATAATTTGTTCCCATTTTACTATTACTAAGAAGAATTAAAAACATAATCGATAGAGTTAATATGCTATCAGAGTAAAATCCAACTTTTATTTAATAATAGTTTGTGTAAATAATAAGCTCAAGAGAAATGAAAGTTATTTCCAGACTACTCTAATATATTAGTTTAATTTTGGAAATTCACAGCTGCTATTCATTTTTGGCTTTTTTCTTTTTTCTTTTTTTCTTTCTGATGGTCTCTTTTCAGTCTATTCAAATCTCTTTCCTAGTAAACTCATTAATGCAACTCACAAGAATAAATAACTTTATATGTGTGTAATATTCCATGAATATGTAAATGTAGATGTCGACTTTAAAATCTGTCTGAAATTATGTGGGTTGACATCAGGAACATCCATATATACATCTGTATCTAATATATAAAGATATATGTACTTAGTTGTGAATGATTTCCTGTGTTTGTAGCCAGGCAGACTTGGATTTATTTTATTCCTCCTGTCTATGACTAGTTATGATCTTAGGCAATGGGAGGTTAGATGTCCTTTTCCCAAATTCTTTATTAAGTAAGGAAAGTAGTTGGAAGTAGTTAGAGGTATAACATGTTACAGTGTTTTGGAATGTTTTGGTTACCAGAGCAGCCACTACTTTCTGCACGCTATTCCTTTCTTTAGAAATATCCATTATCACTCTCTTTGTTACCCATCCAGGGGATGTGGTCATGGGAAAAGCAGTCACTGTGTGACACTACTATATTATGGTGTTGACTCAAGGTCATTTCCTTCACACTAAATTTCTAATCTGGACAGGTATGTTTGGCTGAGTCTTTTCTAGTGAGCTAATTCATTCACTGGTATTCCTTCTGCAAACATATCCTAAGAACTTATGTTTACTGCCTAAGCCTTATATGGTAAATCATCACTGTGCTGGTTTTCCAAACAAAACATTCTGGACATTCTGGAGATTTCCAAGTCAGTAGCGTGGCTAAGGCTAGAAATTGTGATTCCTACACCTGTTTGGAGTCTAGTTATCCTGTTACACGTGTGACTTGGCCCATTGTAAATGTCGGTGCTTGGTTACAAGTTTTGTATATGTTACTACATTCTTTTAAATTTTTTTTTAAGTTACTACATTTTGATATAAAGGCAGAAGGGTAAGCATCTCAGGTTTTCCTTTCAGGGTTCTTTAGCTCTTTCTTCCAAATACACTCATTTTCTCTTTGTTCTAAAACCCT